AGGGGTGGGGACCTGGACTCCTGGGTCTGAGGGAGGAGGGGCTGGGGGCCTGGACCCCTGGGTCTGAGGGAGGTGGGGTGGGGGCCGCATTCCTAGTCCCTGGGGTGTGATGGAGCCACGGGCAGGTCAGGGCCACTCTCTGCCATCACTGACATCTTCCTGCCCATCCTGCAGGTCTGGCCTAAGCCCGGGATCGGACCAGGCCCCTCAGGACCCCATTCCTTCCTGCCCGGACCATGAACTCATCTCCTCGAAGCCATAACGTCCGAGCTGCGTGGTGCGGGCGGCCCTGGGCCCGCCCATCCTTCTCCCCCCAGGAGGCGGGAGGGCGGGAGGCCCATGGGCCCAGCTCCCTGTTTCAGGGCGGGGGCATTCAGTCTCCACTGTGTCTGTCTGTCCTTCCCTGGGGCTCCCCTTCCAGGCAAGGGGCCGTGCATGTCTGGGGGACCCCAGCCCCCCAAACCCTCCGTCTGTCTCTCTGTCTTTTGCTGTTTGTTCAAGACTTGGTGTCCTGACCCTCGTGCTCACCGTGAATGTCAACGGACCAATCCTCCGTGTCCCCCCAGACACACACACACCTGGGTCTACCCCTCTGTGCGCCACACCCCGCGTCTGGCCGATCCACCCACTGCTGCTGCTATCAACACCAGAATAAACACCGTGGGTCTCACTCCGCCCGGGCTCCTGTCCTCTCTGGGACCCGGCAGCTGGGCCGGACCATCCTGGCTCCGGGTGCAGACAAATGTCCCGTCCCCTTTGGCAACTGAATGGGTCTCTCTGAGCCTTAGTTTGTAAATGTCACATTGGCCAGGTTCACTAAGATCATAGGACACCAAATGCAACCCAGACCACCATGACCTCCAGCAGAACTGGAAGACCTCTGTCTGTGGCAAGTCTGAGCGTACAGAAGGATTTCAGGCACGGCTGGATCCAGGTGCTGAAGGACCCTGCTTATCTATTGGCTCTGTTCCCAAGCGAGCCTTTGCAATGGTAATAAGATGCCGTTTGGAGCCCCAGGCTTATCCTGCTGCCTCCGTCATGATGCCTTCAACTGCGTTTCCAATGGCAAGAGCTGGAATGATAGCGACTGCTTTTGCCCAAATAGCAAACCTTTCAAAGACACAGTGTCCCCGGGTTGGCGTCTCTGAGATGCCTTCTGCCTTCCCGTCCTGAGTACAAGCAGTCTTCACGCTCTGTTCTCACAGGGAGGCAGCGAAAACAGGAACTGTGGACAGGGTCTCCCCTCCGTGTTGGTCTGTTTTTCTCCCTAGAAGCGTTCTCCCTACTTCTCGCTCGCCGGAACTGGGTGATGGCCACCCGCAGTTGGAAAGCCGTCTGGGGAAGTGAGCATCTGTCCTTTCCAGTCTCTATCGGGGCCTGTGGGCCTTGTCAGCGATTAAGTACGGAGAGCGGAAGGATGGTTGGGTAGGAAATTAACAACACCTGCTGGAATCACCCTCAGGCCAGGTAACTTCAGAGGAAACAAAGTCAGGGTCTCTGATTGGTTGCGCTTGGGTCTTGGATGACCACTTCCGGCCAATCCTGTGTCCAGCTAGCAAGCTTGCTCTTGGGCCAACCCCCGGCCATGACTGACTTCTTCTCCCCTGACCATCCCACCAGGGATTGGCTTAGGCTCCCCCAACCCTCCCCTCCGCAGGACCTCACTCTTTCTTTCTTTCTTTCTTTCTTTCTTTCTTTCTTTCTTTCTTTCTTTCTAATATATTTTTATTGGTTTCAGAGAGGAAGGGAGAGGGGGAGAGAGAGACAGAAACATCAATGATGAGAGAGAATCATTGATCGGCTGCCTCCTGCACGCCCCCCTACTGAGGATCGAGCCCGCAACCCCGGCATATGCCCTTGACCGGAATCGAACCCAGGACCCTTCAGTCCACAGGCTGATGCTCTATCCACTGAGCCAAACCAGCCAGCGAAACCTCACCCTTTCTGGCCCAGCTGGGAATTCATTTCCTGCAGTCATATGGTCTTTAGTAGAGAACATAAGGGTCCCTTGATTGACAGCCCCAACAGAATCAGATGGCAGTAGACAGGGGACAGTCCTCCAAAGTAGTAAATGCCCCAGTCCATGCCGCTCTGGGCTGCTTGGCATCAATCCACACGCACTTGCCCAATAAACACCATCTCAAAAAGTCCCACCATGAAAAATGGTCCAACCACTGACTGCATTCGCGAGGGCGGCTGTAATAGATGGCCATGCCAGCTGGCTGAAGACAACAGACATGGATTCTCTCAGAGCTCTCGAGGCCGGAGTCTGCAGTCATGGCCTGAGCAGGGCTGGCTCCTTCCGAGGCTCCCGGACTCCGTCCGCCTCTCTCCCAGGCGGCCTTGGCTTGAGGGTGCATCTCTCCAACCTCTGTGTCTGTCTGGCCTCCCGGGTGTCTGTCTCTCACATCTCCCTTGGCCTTGCTCTGTTTATGCACACGCAACATGAATTTTTTCATTGCACTCTAACTAGGAGTCTATGTACTCTCTTCTCTCAAGGAGCAAGCTGCGCTCTTCAAACCCGAATAAATGTCAAGGTTATAAAGGTACAATATCATTTGTCAAGTGTAGCTTAAGGGTAAACAGGGCAGCCGATTAGCATCCGCCAGAATTGCAGGTTCATTTTAACCCAATAAATACCTTGAAAATAGACATAAGAAGACATTGCATCGTGCCAAAGAAACTTACCCTTTGGATTAATGTCATACTCGCCCTGGCCAGGTGGTTCAGTTGGTTGGAGCGTTGTCCCGTACACCTGAAGGTTTTAGGTTCAATTCCTGGTCAGGGCACATACCCAGGTTTTGGTTTTGACCCCCATTTGGGTCGCCTACCAGAGGCAACCTGTCAGTGTCTCTCTCTCTCTCTCTTCCTCTCCCCCCCCCTCTCTCTCACACACACACACACACACACACACACACACACTTCCTCTCTTTAAACATATCCTCAGGTGAAGATTACAAAAAATTTATATTGCCTGGCCAATTGTGCTCAGTGGTTAGAGCACCGGTCTTTGCACGGAAGGGTCTTGGGTTCAATTCCAGGTCAAGGGCATATACCTGCCTGGGTTGCAGGTTTGATCCCCATCTCCTCTTGGGGCACCTGCAAGAGGCAACCAATCGATGTGTCTCTCTCACATCAATGTCTCTCTCTCTCTCTATCCCCTCCCTCTCTCCCTCCCGCCGCTCTCTCTAAAAATCAATGGAAAAAAATATCCTCAGGTGAGGATCAACAACAAAATATTTAATGTCATACTCTACTGGTTTCTTGGGCAGTTTGCTAGTTTACTTTTTAAAATATATATATACTTTTATTGATTTCAGAGAGGAACGGAGAAGGAGAGAGAGAGCGAGAAAAATCAATGATGGGAGAGAATCATTGATCAGTTGCCTCCTGCACGCCCCCTACTGGGGATTGAGCCTGCAACCCAGGCATGTGTCCTTGACCAGGATCAAACCAGGGATCCTTCAGTCCGCAGGCCATCGCTCTATCCACTGAGCCAAACCCATAGGGCGCTAGTTTACTCTTTGTAATCTTTGATGGTGCCACCATCGTCAGCAAGAGCTTATCTGGTATGCAAATGAGCTTTGAAGTCAGGCCTAGATTCAAATTCCTCCTCTCTATATATTAGTGCTGTGAGTTTGGGCAAAGTTTACAACCTTGCTGTGCTCCAATTTCTTTAGCTGTAACATAGAGAAAACGCCTACTTCATAAGAATGTGGTGAAGATGACATAAAATAATGCAATGAGACACTTAGCACAGTATTCAGCATACAGTAACACGACTCAGAAATTAGCTGTTAAGCCCAGCCGGTATGGCTCAGCGATTGAGCATCGACCCAAGAACCAGGAGGTCATGGTTCGATTCCACATGCCCGGGTTGCGGGCTTGATCCCCAGTAAGGGGCATGCAGGAGGCAGCTGATCAATGATTCTCTCTCATCATTGATGTTTCTCTCTCTCTCCCCCTCTCCCTCCCTCTCTCTGAAATCAAGAAAAACATATATTTTTTAATTAGCTGTTAATATTGATAATAATGGTGATTATAATTGCTAATGATTATCCTATTATTAGAGTATGTTTGCTCATTAGGAATCTCTGTAATCACTTTACTATGGACTGACCTAATATATAAGTATCAGCTGTTCCAGAAGGGAGCAAGATGTTTGCGCGCAGGGAAATGTAACAGGATAATATTTCTACCACTAGTTTGCTCTGAAGAGGCATATGCTGTTTGCAGTCATTCCTACGTGTCTTATTTTTTTCTACCTTTCTCTTGTAAGGCCACCAGTCCTTGGACTTAGGGACCATTCTAAATCCAGTCTGATCTTATCTGGAGATCCTTAACTGCATCCACCTTGAAAAATGGTTTAATCCTATAAAATAAAAGACTAATATGTAAATTGACCAAACAGCGGAATGACCGGTTGCTATGACGTGGGCTGACCACCAGGGGGCAGATGTTCAATGCAGGAGCTGCCCCCTGGTGGTCAGTCCGCTCCCACAGTGGGAGTGCTGCTCAGCCAGAAGCCGGGCTCACAGCTGGCGAGCACAGCGGTGGTGGTGGTGGTGGGACTCTCCCGCCTCTGTGGCAGCTCTAAGGATATCTGACTGCTGGCTTAGGCCCCTGAGGGCTCCTGGACCGTGAGAGCGCGGGCTTGGCTGAGGGACCCCCCGAGTGCACAAATTTCGTGCACTGGGCCTCTAGTATTAACGTAAATTGAAAATGAAACATAAATTTACCACGGGAGTCAACAATCCCACTCCTAAGATTTACCCTTGAGAAAGAAAAACGTGTGTCTACGCAAATATTTACAGCAACCGTGTTCATAAGAGCCCCAATGTGGGACCTTGGGAACCCCGGAAATGCCCATCAACAGGATTGGGCAAACAAATTGTGGTATGTCCACGGGATGGAATACTACACAGCAACGAAAAGAACTACCTACTGATCAACGTGGCACCAAGGATACATCTCAAAAACAGTGCATCTTATGAAAGAAGCCAGACACAGAAAAGTACAAACGATATGACTCCATTTATGTGAAATTGTAGACTGGAGGGACAGAATCAGGTGAGGGCTGCCTGGGGCTGAGGGAGTGGGTGTGGAGGGGAGGATTACACACAGGCAGGAAGGAAACTTTTGGGACCATGAGCCTGTTCTATCTCTTGGTCGTGGAGGTGGTCACACACTGTGTACAATTGTCCAAAGTCGTTGAAGAGCACAGTTCAAGTTGGCACAGTTAAAACTTTTTGAATCGTGGGAAAATATACACACAACATAAAATTTACCATCTTAAACTTTTTTTATTATTACATTTGTGGTTGGTTTTTTAAAATATATTTTTATTGATTTCAGAGAGGAAGAAAGAGGGAGAGAGAGAGAGAGAGAAGCATCAATGATGAGAGAGAATCATGGATCAGCTGCCTCCTGCAAGTCCCCCACTGGGGATCAAGCCCACAACCTGGGCATGTGCCCTTGACCGGAATCGAACCTGGGACCTTTCAGTTCGCAGGCTGACGCTCTATCCACTGAACCAAACCGGCTAGGGCCCATCTTAACCCTTTTTAAGTGCACAGTTCAGTGGTGGTAAATACATTCACATTGTTGTGCAGCCAATCTCTGGAACTCTTTTCATCTTGCAAAAGGGAACTTTACACCATTAAACAATAACTC